TCCAGCCGTTTAGCCGTCTATAAACACACATTCATTTTTATATATATAATTTAAAGGTTAAATCTACATATTTGATTTCATCTTTAATAATTATTATAAACGCCCTGTTCTTAATATTAATTTACGCTTTTATTTATTTAATAGTTAGCATCACTGATTCTTAAGCTCCTCCTTAAACGTTCTATTTTGGCTTTTGCTACAAAAAGCTTCCTACTAAGGAAACAACAATAAAACCCACTTGTTGTTGCAGCACAAAAGCTTTTCTTTAATCTTAATGCACACACTCATTCGCATTACTAGTAGAACTTTCTTAAGTCATTTGCAGTTTTCTTTTATTTGTCAGTTTCTTTTCTTAATTCTGTGATAATGCGTTTGTTTAAGTGAAGATTTTTGGTAAAATAATTAAAATTAATTAGTAAAAGTTTTTAAAATATAAAAATTCAAAGAAATAAATGTAAAATAATGATTGTTTAATAGTTTGTGCTGGAAATAAATGGAAATTAACAATTATTTGCTTTGATTTTCGAGTTGCAAGAATTGTGAAGAAAATTTTTGGCCAAAAATTTTTTATGTACCTACGTGTATGGTTGGTTGTTGTTTTTTTTCATGCTGGTAATACGATGTTTTTGTTCGTGTGTGTATGTTGTGCCAAAGTAAACAGAGGAAATGTGATGAAAATATTGTTTTTTTATGAAATTGCAAAATTAGTAATTAATAAAAGGAAATTATTATAACGTGTGATATCTTTCTAAATGCATTTGTGTATTTATATCGGTTGTTTATATTGAAAACGAAAAAGATGTGTGTCAAAAGATGTATGGAAATACTGAACTAACCTCTCAGAACATTGAAAGTAGTAGAATGGTAAGTCTATTTTATGTTTCTTTCCATTTTAATTGCATATTGCAGTCGCAAATTAAAGTGTCTCATAGGTATGTCTGTATTTTAAATGAGGATAAGAAGTGTATAACCTTTTGCATTGCCTGTTGCTAAATACAAAATTCCTTCATGAAATGATTTATTAACAGGGAAACCAAAGTATGCAAAACATGTGGACTCATGGATAAGATATTTACATGTTTCAGACCAATTTAAGAATTTTGACATCGATATTTTAACGCACATGTTTGGATATTTAACCGATAAGAATATAATTTTGAACATATTTTACCCTTCAGGTGCATAGGCGACTACTGGGTCATGTTTGTATACATAGTTTGAAAATGGCAAAAAATACATTACATAGTCTCACAAATAGCTTTTTCCAATAAAACCTTAAATTCTAAATCGGGTCTTAAAAACGTTAACTTTGGATTGCAAGAGACTAATGCATTTTAGTCGTTTAAGAACCTAGTCGCGATAATTATTGAATTCTCCGACGGAATCCTATATATAGAAGAACTATAGTTCTTCATTTAAGAAAGTTCTTCAAACTATGAGGTGAATCCACCTAGTCAGAAAGATATGTATGTATGTTGTAGGATTTTAGTTAGTTAGTTAGTTAGTCAGTCAGTTAGTCAGTTAGTTAGTTAGTTAGGTAGTTAGTTAGTTAGTTAGTTAGTTAGTTAGTTAGTTAGTTAGTTAGTTAGTTAGTTAGTTAGTTAGTTAGTTAGTTAGTTAGTTAGTTAGTTAGTTAGTTAGTTAGTTAGTTAGTTAGTTAGTTACTTAGTTAGTTAGTTCGTTAGTTAGTTAGTTAGTTAGTTCGTTAGTTTTAGTTAGTTAGTTAGTTAGTTAGTTAGTTCGTTAGTTAGTTAGTTAGTTGTTAGTTAGTTAGTTAGTTCGTTCGTTCGTTCGTTCGTTAGTTAGTTAGTTAGTTAGTTAGTTAGTTAGTTAGTTAGTTAGTTAGTTAGTTCGTTTTAGTTTGTTCGTTAGTTAGTTCGTTAGTTCAGTTAGTTAGTTCGTTAGTTAGTTAGTTAGTTAGTTTAGTTGTTATTAGTTCGTTAGTTAGTTCTTTCGTTAGTTCGTTTGTTCGTTCGTTAGTTAGTTTCTTAGTTAGTTTAGTTCGTTAGTTAGTTCGTTTTTCGTTTCGTTCGTTCGTTAGTAGTTCGTTAGTTCGTTCGTTCGTTCGTTAGTTGTTCTTAGTTCGTTCGTTAGTTGTTAGTTCGTTCGTTCGTTCGTTAGTTAGTTAGTTCGTTAGTCGTTCGTTAGTTCGTTCGTTAGTTCGTTCGTTTCGTTCGTTCGTTAGTTCGTTTCGTTTCGTTCGTTCGTTCGTTCGTTAGTTAGTAGTAGTTAGTTAGTTCGTTCGTTAGTTAGTTCGTTCTTTAGTTCGTTCTTCGTTCGTTATTCGTTCGTTCGTTTAGTTAGTTAGTTAGTTGTTCGTTCGTTTCGTTAGTTAGTTCGTTCGTTTAGTTTTAGTTCGTTAGTTAGTTTTAGTTGTTAGTTAGTTAGTTGTTCGTTCGTTCGTTAGTTAGTTCGTTCGTTAGTTGTTAGTTTTAGTTAGTTAGTTAGTTAGTTTAGTTAGTTAGTTCGTTCGTTGTTAGTTCGTTCGTTAGTTCGTTAGTTCGTTGTGTTCGTTAGTTAGTTCGTTCGTTATTAGTTCAGTTGTTCGTTGTTCGTTAGTTAGTTTCGTTAGTTCGTTTCGTTAGTTTTAGTTTGTTCGTTCGTTATTAGTTCGTTAGTTCGTTAGTTAGTAGTAGTTATTAGTTAGTTAGTAGTAGTTAGTTTAGTTAGTTAGTTAGTTAGGAAGTTAGTTCGTTAGTTAGTCGTTAGTTAGTTAGTTAGTTAGTTAGTTAGTTAGTAGTTAGTGAGTTAGTTAGTAGTTCTTTGGGTGTACTTTCCAAACTCTTTGTTCGATATTGTTTTCACGCTGGTACCCACTAAGTCCTTGGCAGTAATTTCATATAAAACTTGAAAAAAAGTCATAATTTCAGTTTTATTTCAACTTTATTTCTTTTCATTATTCAAAAATACATAATTCGTTTTGAAATTTTCTGCAAAAATATCTTTACAATAAACTTAATAATACTTAAAATTTACCCTGAAAAAAGTGCAATACTTTGAACAATAAAATGGACTAGTTTCTATTACCTGATCGTAGGACTGTTAAATAAATAAAATCTAAACTGTAATTTAAACAGAAAAACTCAATTTAACTACAGTTAAAATTTCGTGTTTAACCAACCTTAGTAACTGGACAGTTTTAGAGATTTTCTTTATTATAATTTACTTAATTTAAGATAAAATGTTTACAAAAATATATATGCGTGTTTTTTTTTGGTTTCTTGATTAGTTTTATAAAAATATAAATATCAGTATATAATTTAATAATAATTAAGGTACTTGCATTACATAATTTATTTAAAACAACCATTCATTTACTGTTAGTTTTTTTGTATAAAAAAATTGTCTTTTGTTAAAAATTTTGAATATTTTTACAAAAGAGAATTTTTATTTGGGATTTAGGAGACCTTTTTTTATAAAGAACATTGACAAATCTGTTGTAGAGAAAGAAATTTATCAATAAACAACAGATTTATGAAGTGCTTTGTTAAAAAATATTAATGTCTTCCATTTAGCAGCCAAATGTGTTAAATGAAAAAGTTAATTTTTGTTAAAAAATTTAACAATTTTATTAGGAATTAATAAAATTATTAAATAAATTAATTAATTATTAAATTCGGGGTTTTTATGCCTTGGGTTTACTACAGTTTTTTAAAATAGTTTTTCAATTTAAAAATATAAAAAGATCATTACAGTTGTTTTTTAAACAATTCTGAAGATCACTTCTATATTTTAAAATTGTTTCCCTCACTGTTAATAATTCCCTTAGCCTTGATTAATAACTTTGAAAGTAAACAATGGTATTTTAAAATTTTTAAGCTTTTCAATTCATTAAAGCTTTATGCTTAAAAAGTTCAGGTGATCCTGTTTTACAGATGAGGCAGCATTCATCTCTTTACAATTGTATGAAATCTCTTTACAATTGTTATAGAGATTTGTATCTGAAAGCTATAATTTTACCCCAGTAGTTATTAAAGATAGACCTCATACCATTGTTTAGTCCAAAGTTTTGGTTGCATATAAATTTTTTACTTAACTATCTTATAATTATATATCACGCCGATTTTTATCATTAAAATTCTTACAAATTCCAATAAAGCTTTTGAAAGTTAGTTATTTGAGCTTATAAAAGTTTTAGAATAGAAACAGGATCAATATTCAGGGTCGATAGGGAATGAAATGTTAATTGAGACTAAATGAACGTTTCGATCGTATTGAAGATTGAAATCTTGCAATATTTCTACTTAACATTTTGTTTTGAACTGCTGATATTTAGAGAATTCAAAGTTTTTTAAAGTTTTGAAATCGAAAGCTTTTAATTCTAATATATCTTGAGTTTCTCATCAGCGGATTTCAAAGATGAAATTTTAAGACTTTAAACGTTATAATTCTTCTTAAAAAGTTTAATGTATTTGCATTAAAACTTTTGACAACTTTTAGTTCAGACAAGTCGAATTTATACAAGATAAAAGTGGTCATCGAGGTGATTGCATTTCTAAATCCATACATAATATATTAGAGATCAAAAATCCTTTCTGAAATGTTGCCACTTTGAATTTTACACCTCACAATCTGAAATCTTTAAAAAAGACACAAAACTTTATGGGTTTCGTTTCAATCCAGTGGAATCTTGAGTTCAACAAATGATATAGATTAATTTTAAGAATCAAAGTTCTTGAGAAGCAAATTATAGAGTTTTGTTTCTACTAGCAAACAATTTCAGTTGACACTACCAACGTTTTGCGAACACTAACTTCACATCCGACTGGATGGTTCAGTTATAACGACATCATATTCTTATTGAGTTGTAGGGTCCAATAGAATTCCAATAATTGCGCTTTCGGTTTTAGAACTATCTATTGCAAACTAATATCGCTTGAAAGTTATATCCAGGGAAACTAAAATCCTAAACTTTTATCAAACACCTATCAAAAGCTTTATCGGAAAGCTTATATTGCAAAACATATAGTAATAAAAAGTAAACCCTTTTGAAATTTCGGCTATACAGCTCCATATTGAGCATGACCTTTAGATGGACCTACATTAATCACCTGTTCATTGAAATCCTTCCATGGAGGAGTTTGTGTATAAAAACTACTATTATGATGATGATGATGCTGGTGATATTGTAACTCTGCTGGAGATCCATTTGAAGCTGTTGCAGCTGTTGTATGTGAGGGTAAATGAGTGCTGGCAGTGATATGTGCGGATGATGCAGATGTAACATCATTATAGCCCGCATTCATTGACGCATAGCCCATTGTATTGGTAGTGGGTGTCCCTGTACTGATTGTAGGTTTAATATCAGCAGCTGCTTCAAATGTGCCCTTAAAGAGATCATATTTTTCTTGTGAGAAATTTGTATCCATTCGACGTTCAGGCTGGTGGCATTGTTGACTGCTATAGTGACGCATGCTACTTAAGAAATCTTGTTGTGTAAAGCCCGGATTTGCTGGAGAGTGGGTGTTAGGTGTTACATTAGGCTGCCTATTAAAGTTCGGTTGATATGTACTGCCTGCAGCTCCTAAACCTGTTGTTTGGTTAAAGGGCATATGAGGAGGATAAGGCATTCTACCAAAACCCATATAACCTCCTCCCGCCATCATAGGATACTGTTGTGGGTTAACAAATATGGCATCGAATAGTTCCTTAGTTATTCTCTCGCCGCTCAAAGTAAAATTCTGTAATTTCTCTAAATCCAAATTCAAAGTGCCACCACTTTCCAAAACCTGTTCCAAGGCAAATATGTAATTGTGCGCAAAACGTAAAATCTCTATTTTAGTCAATTTCGTTTCCTCCGGCAATTGTGGCAAAGTAACACGCAAACGTTCTAAGGCATCATTCAGCGTATGCATGCGATTACGTTCGCGATCATTGGCCTTAATGCGGCGAAATTTCTTAATGCGCACCACCTGTGTGGGACTGCGCGAACGAGTCATGCGATTTTTGCCGACGGCATATTTACGTTTTGGTCTTGGTTCAGTTGGTTGATCATCACCACTCTCACCCGAAGATTTTTTACTCGGCGTAGATGTTTGATCTCCCAGCTTCGGTGAGAACTCTAGATCATCTGGTGGTGCCTTGCTGATAATGTGTTCTACAAGCGTACGTCCACTGCGTGAGCTGTGATTACTGCCGGTATCAAATAATCCTGGTATCAAAGAATGCTCCATGGGTAAGCTGTTATAGCCGTTAGGTAAATGTCCATTAAAATCTCCCTGAACCGGTGCATTATTATAAAAATCTCCACAATTATCAAACACTAATTTACGTGGTTTTAAATGACACTCATTGGCGGTTTCAAAACTTTTTTCATAACCACTATCGAATGAAGAGTTATCATCATCTTCGGGAAAATCAAAAGAACGATCTTCAAAACCGCTATAACACGAAGACATTTTTAAAGCGTTTTCTTTCTTTTTCTCGTATTACACTTTTAATAACGGTTTTATTTTTTTCAATTTCACTTTATAATTCTCGTTTTTCTTGTAGCATTGTTTTGTTGTTGTTGTTTTTTAATAAATTTTTATTTCCAACAGCGGTTTGTTGTTGCTCGCATCACGTGAATAAACCAACTAAACAACCTTTAAGGGTGTTACTTGTATTTTATATTGTCGCGTTCCTCACTTGACCAACCCTGTGCGTATTGGTCGTGGTCGTGAGGGCGCCATTTAAAATCCTCTTCCTATGGAGAGGGTTGTTTTTGTGTTTTCGTCTAATATTGTTGCTTTAATCTTTTTGGCTGAGCTGTAGAACTCTTTTACTAGCAACTAGAACTATTAGCCAATCAGCAGCCTTTAACGATCAAAGAGTTTTTTTACCCTATGCCCTGTAGGAATATTAATCAAGTTTGTGTAATGCATACTCACTGGGTTAGATTAATGATAGGAATAGGTGAAAACAAGTGTTAAAATTGTATAACTTCATGGGAATATGAGATTTAATAGATAGAATGAAAAGATTCAATAAAGATCATTATCGATGACTTTTATATAGATCAAAGGGAATAGTAGACTCACTAGATCACAATTCTAAATATACTTCATTTACAGTGGCTCTAAATTAGACTGGATGTTTTAACAATTACATTGGAATTTTAACACAATGATTCTACCTTCATCGACATCTGATGACTAGTCCAACATTTTAAATGTTTTCATAAGAAGGAATGAAATGTTTTTAAATTTCAACTGTAGTTTAGAACACTTAGTACGATAACAAGAGTTCCGTTTTTAATTTAGACCTCATAACCCTAAAACAGTGAGTTCAGACTTTCCCAAAGTTTTGATTCTTATCCGGTTTAAAAGAATTTACTACTTAAATGTATATGAAATTTACTAGAACTATAAAGAACTATATATTATAAACTCTAGATCCACTTGGTTACTCATCCCAGAAATTTCAATTCAAAACATTAACACGACAATACTTCTGCTCTCAGCATTCGAAACCTTAGTAAGTTAGTTAGTTAGGTAGTTAGTTAGTTAGTTAGTTAGTTAGTTAGTTAGTTAGTTAGTTAGTTAGTTAGTTAGTAGTTAGGTAGTAGTTAGTTAGTTAGTAGTTAGTTAGTTAGTTAGTTAGTTAGTTAGTAGTTAGTTAGTTAGTTAGTTAGTTAGTTAGTTAGTTAGTTAGTTAGTTAGTTAGTTAGTTAGTTAGTTAGTTAGTTAGTTAGTAGTTAGTTAGTTAGTTAGTTAGTTAGTTAGTTAGTTAGTTAGTTAGTTAGTTAGTTAGTTAGTTAGTTAGTTAGTTAGTTAGTTAGTTAGTTAGTTAGTTAGTTAGTTAGTTAGTTAGTTAGTAGTTAGTTAGTTAGTTAGTAGTTAGTTAGTTAGTTAGTTAGTTAGTTAGTTAGTTAGTTAGTAGTTAGTTAGTTAGTTAGTTAGTTAGTTAGTTAGTTAGTTAGTTAGTTAGTTAGTTAGTTAGTTAGTTAGTTAGTTAGTTAGTTAGTTAGTTAGTTAGTAGTTAGTTAGTTAGTAGTTAGTTAGTTAGTTAGTAGTAGTTAGTTAGTTAGTTAGTTAGTTAGTTAGTTAGTTAGTTAGTTAGTTAGTTAGTTAGTTAGTTAGTTAGTTAGTTAGTTAGTAGTTAGTTAGTAGTTAGTTAGTTAGTAGTTAGTTAGTTAGTTAGTTAGTTAGTTAGTTAGTTAGTTAGTTAGTTAGTTAGTTAGTTAGTTAGTTAGTTAGTAGTAGTTAGTTAGTTAGTTAGTTAGTTAGTTAGTTAGTTAGTTAGTTAGTTAGTAGTTAGTTAGTTAGTTAGTTAGTTAGTTAGTTAGTTAGTTAGTTAGTTAGTTAGTTAGTTAGTTAGTTAGTTAGTTAGTTAGTTAGTTAGTTAGTTAGTTAGTTAGTTAGTTAGTTAGTTAGTTAGTTAGTTAGTTAGTTAGTTAGTTAGTTAGTTAGTTAGTTAGTTAGTAGTTAGTTAGTTAGTTAGTAGTTAGTTAGTTAGTTAGTTAGTTGTTAGTAGTTAGTTAGTTAGTTAGTTAGTTAGTAGTTAGTAGTTAGTTAGTTAGTTAGTTAGTTAGTTAGTTAGTTAGTTAGTTAGTTAGTTAGTAGTTAGTTAGTTAGTTAGTAGTTAGTTAGTTAGTTAGTTAGTTAGTTAGTTAGTTAGTTAGTTAGTTAGTTAGTTAGTTAGTTAGTTAGTTAGTTAGTTAGTTAGTTAGTTAGTTAGTTAGTTAGTTAGTTAGTTAGTTAGTTAGTTAGTTAGTTAGTTAGTTAGTTAGTTAGTTAGTTAGTTAGTTAGTTAGTTAGTAGTTAGTTAGTTAGTTAGTTAGTTAGTTAGTTAGTTAGTTAGTTAGTTAGTTAGTTAGTTAGTTAGTTAGTTAGTTAGTTAGTTAGTTAGTTAGTTAGTAGTAGTTAGTTAGTTAGTAGTTAGTTAGTTAGTTAGTTAGTTAGTTAGTTAGTAGTAGTTAGTTAGTAGTTAGTTAGTTAGTTAGTTAGTTAGTTAGTAGTTAGTTAGTTAGTAGTTAGTTAGTTAGTTAGTTAGTTAGTTAGTTAGTTAGTTAGTTAGTTAGTTAGTTAGTAGTTAGTCTAGTAGTTAGTTAGTTAGTTAGTTAGTTAGTTAGTTAGTTAGTAGTTAGTTAGTTAGTTAGTTAGTTAGTTAGTTAGTTAGTAGTTAGTTAGTTAGTTAGTTAGTTAGTTAGTTAGTTAGTTAGTTAGTTAGTTAGTTAGTTAGTTAGTTAGTTAGTTAGTTAGCCTATAACTTCCATTCTTAAATTTCCTATTAGGTCATAAATACCAATTCAAATGTCTCACTATCTCTAATTCTCCCTTATAATTTCCACAAAATTCCTCTCATTTTACATGAAAGCTTTTATTTCGGCATAAAAATAATTGCGACATATTACAGTCGCCTTGGGGGCTTATTGAAATAGAACAAACTTGTATTATTATTAAGGGTAACTTTCATTATATTTCAATTGTTTAACTTGTTTCGATTTGTTTTTGCTGGTTTTTCATAAATGCGAGACCGACAACTCCGCCATTGAAGAGCATTATTATCAACATCATCATCATCGTTATAATGTCAAGTTTACTCATTTCCTATATGTTTATTCCTCATTCATTATGTGGACTTATTATTTATATTTAGATGTACTACCACGTGCACACATACGAGTAATTCATTTACTCTAAAAATTTTATTTACCCCGGGGTAATCTGTCTGTTATATATATTCATTGTTTTGATATCGTAAAATGATTTAGCTTAACCGCAGAATAGCAACTTTATGCTAAATAAAAGAGAGAGAAAAGAATATTGATTGTTTTATATTTTGTGATAAAGTTTTTAAAAAGAAAAACTTAACAAATGTTCTCATATGCAGCAATAGACAATATGTTGAGCTAATTTTCAATCATTTGTATGAGATTAAATGGTAAAATAAACTTTTTATAGTTACGAACCTGTTGACAGTGAACTTCTTAAATTGATGAAGATGGAAATTGTAGACTACAGACTAGACAGTAGACTAGACTATAGACTAGTATATAGACTATATACTAGACTATAGACTAGACTTTAGACTAGACTATAGACTAGACTATAGACTAGACTATATACTAGACTATAGACTAGACTATAGACTAGACTGTAGACTAGACTATAGACTAGACTATAGAATAGACTATAGACTAGGCTATAGACTAGACTATAAACTAGACTGTAGACTAGACTATAGACTAGACTATAGACTAGACTGTAGACTAGTCTATAGACTAGACTATTGTTTTGATATCGACTATAGACTAGTCTATAGTCCAGTCTATAGTCTAGTCTATAGTCCAGTCTATAGTCTAGTCTATAGACTAGACTATAGACTAGACTATAGACTAGACTATAGACTAGACTATAGACTAGACTATAGACTAGACTATAGACTGGACTATAGACTAGACTATAGACTGGACTATAGACTAGACTATAGACTAGACTATAGACTAGACTATAGACTAGACTATAGACTAGACTATAGACTAGACTATAGACTGGACTATAGACTAGACTATAGACTGGACTATAGACTAGACTATAGACTAGACTATAGACTAGACTATAGACTAGACTATAGACTAGACTATAGACTAGACTATAGACTAGACTATAGACTAGACTATAGACTAGACTATATACTAGATTATAGACTAGACTATAAACCAGACTATAGACTAGACTATAGACTAGACTATAGACTAGACTATAGACTATACTATAGACTAGACTATAGACTAGACTATAGACTAGACTATAGACTAGACTATAGACTAGACTATAGACTAGACTATAGACTAGACTATAGACTAGACTAGACTAGACTAGACTAGACTATAGACTAGACTATAGACTAGACTATAGACTAGACTATAGACTAGACTATAGACTAGACTATAGACTAGACTATAGACTAGACTATAGACTAGACTATAGACTAGACTATAGGCTAGACTATAGACTACACTATAGACTATACTATAGACTAGTCTAGACCAGACTACAGCCTATATAGACAGACTTTACATTTTAAAGAGAGCAAGTATAATTTATTGGGGATTAACTGTTAATTTTTACATTTCTCACACTTTATAATTGTTTATTTTATAATTTCTTCTTAAATAATATTAAAAAAATATTCCCAGGAGATTAATGTTTTTTTAAATAAAGATATTAACTATTATTATTAACTATTCATAGTTTAACGCTAAAAAATAAGCCTCAAGCCTTAAAAACTATTATTCTTAACCATTATTTTACATAAATAATAAATAAATCCTTACACACTTTAACACTGTTTTTACATCCTTATTATTGGCCACACGTGTCCACCAGTGTTTTAACAACATAATTTGTGGTTTCAAGTACCGGCAACATTTAAGCAACTGTTGCAATAATATCTTTCCTTTTCATACTCAATG